CATATTTGTGCATATGTTGCCACCATCATTTCCAAAACATTTTCTTTCTACTTGAGCCCTTGGTTTCAGCTCCTCTTTTTCCCTCCTTCCAATGAGGAGACTTTTCACGAAAAGTCAGAGGCACAAGTAGAAGAAACAGTGCAGAGTTGTGTGTCTAATATACTCAGATTTGGGTAAAAAACACCAAAAAGAACATATGTACATGTAGGTGTAAAAAGGTACACACATACTTTTTGTACACATAAAAGGTCTCTTTCCAGTTCACAGAGCTTGCCGCTGGAGGTGGGGACTAAGGTCTGACGATCTCATCACTGCGCACCAGGGCGCTTCCAGAAGTGCGTGGAGAAATGCAATGGAAAGATAATGGAAGCTTTGTTCAAAGACTGACTGTAGTCTTTTTAGTAGGCATACGTCGTAGTGAATTAATCCATAAAAATGGGTTAATAAAGTAATGGAAGCCCATGACCTCTTTGGGGGCACCTTTGTACTTTTATGCTTTCCGAATTTTGAGTAATGTATTCAGCAAATAAATGACATTATGAAATTGCTCACTTGTGAGTGTATCTTAACTCAGAGTCACTGCATACATAGCTTTTGCTTTTCTGTTCATCAGGAACAGACCTTTCTGAGACGTTCTCAAATTCATTTTTCAAATTAATTTTTATGAAACAACGATTATACATCTCTCCCCGAGGATTCATTTTATATTCTTTAAGCCCACTACTGTCTTCCTTTTTTTTAATGATAATTTCATTTCGGTCTAAAATTCAACCTTAAGGACAATAGCATCAAATAAAAACTATCTGAAAATCACAGAAGGAAATTAAGAGCTCAGTTGATGGGTTTCGTAACACTGTTCTCTTTTAGCAAAGCTTACGAGTGGATAGTGAACTGAAGGAGAGCACACGTATCCAGAGTGAAGCATGAAGAACCAGTGATGGAGATTTCAGGAGCGAGGTTAGAGGCATGAGGATTGGAAAGAGTAGAAGATATGACAGCTGTATAATTGGAGCCCATAGAGAGGAAAGCAAGAGTGAAAAGAGATAACAGCTGAGAATTTCTCCAAACTAATAGAATCCATACACTTATGAAGCTCTATGAACCCCCAGCAGGTTAAATGCAACAAATGTAGGTGAAATGAGAAAATAATCAATTAGCCAGGGCAAAATGACAGCTGCTTTCAGAGTAACAGTAATGAGACTTAGCAGCTGAATAGTAAAGGCTAGAAGACCTAGACGATGATTATCTTTAGAATGCCGAAAGAAAAGAACTACTGCTAATGTAAGCTCCGCTTTCAGTCAGAGTAGTCTGCAGGAATGAAAGTGCACGATGTAAATTTTTGGGAAATTCAACATCGGTTTTAGACCAACAGATCTGCATTTATAGCTAAGTCTCCAAGCAGAAGCAAAATGATTTCAGATGTGTAGTTGAAGGTATAAGGAGAAATGGAGGGCAAGGAAATGGTGACTATGAGGGGGATTTTTAAAGTTCATGGAAAAATGGGATTAAAAGAGACTGGAATTTT